TTATCTGGAAAGGGAAGGATAAAGTTAAACGCTCTGCACTTATTAGTGATATCGAAGATGGAAGACTTAAAGCCCCACATTTAAGTTCCATAATTGAAACACAAAGAGTATTTTGCTGCAAGAAATTGGCAAATGATCCACCGAGTGGATGGAAAATAATCTTTTGTCATTGTCTGAAACCTGTTGGTGTTAAATTAGTCTTATGTTGGGACTTTGATTTGAAGAAATTGCCTATCAAATTACCAGCCTCTTATGAAGAATGCTTAAAATTTTTTGCAAAGTGCTCTGCTGTAAATAATTTAAATGTACTGGATTTAAATGGAAAAGACTTTTCAAAAGTAATCTTATGGTGACAAGTCTGTGTATTTTCGAAATTTCGCTGAGAAAGGGATCTTTCGAGTGGGTGATTAAATCTCGCATAAAAATGAATTTACAATCAAAAGCGAGTTGAGAGTCTTGAACCTTTCGCATTTGGATGGCTTTATGCTTGTCTCTTTAATAGACGCTCTACCAACTCAATGGCGTGAATCGTTGAAAACCTGCATCTCTACAGGTGACACACCATTCAATTTGCGTGATGACATTAAGTTACGCTTAAGTGGTCAAATTGTTTTACTTGAAAAAGCGTATTCGAAAATTGTTTATAAAGAACTTCGAAACAGAATCGTCACTCCACCAACTGCTTAACTTAAGTTTAATGCTCATTTTGTCAATGACACTTTGAATTGGAAAAAATTTATAGCTTGCCATATCGTGTTGCCTTGGATACAAAGACTCGTGAATTTCAGTATAAATTACTAAACAGATGCCTTGTGACAAATACCTTCCTATGCAAAATAGGTATTATGCCATCTCCAGCGTGCTCCTTATGTGGTGAATCGGACGAATCCCTCAAACATCTTTTCCTGTCTTGTCACTATACTAAGAATTTATGGTCAAAGGTTATAAAATGGCTTGTTGATCATATAGTCAAGATTGAAAATCTTTCAGACAAAGATATACTGAGTTGGACTCTAGGATGTGAGAACGAGATACTTGTAAATCATATTTTATTACTGGCAAAACAATGTCTATACTCTTGTGGACAGAACAAATATTCTCCCTCCATTAGAGTTGTTTATTCCAAAATTAATAATGTTTTCTTAATCCAGACAATGACCGCTTAGTCAAACAATAAGTTGAAGACCCACAATATGAAACGGAGCAAATATCAGATATATCAGATTAGCATACGATCGTTTCGCCGCTTACTTCATTTATTATTAATCTTTTTTTTTTTTACATGCAAATAGAAAATAAGGTACTGGGGTTTTTTGTTTCCTTTTTGTCAGTATGTAATTGTGTGTTAGTGTACAATGTATATATGTTTAGTTTTCTTTTCCATTTTTTGTATTTTTCCTACGTGTTCACATGTCAGTGTGTAAAAAAAGAAAGAGAGAAGTCAGCCAAAATCTTGAATTTATGATTTTGGAAAGCCAGAATCTCGAAGTTAACTAAAATCTTGAATTCAATGCTAAACTCTTGAAGTCAGCCAACATCTTGAACTCAGGATTTTGAAAAGCCAAAATCTTGAATTCACACTTTTGGAAAGCCAAAATCTTAAGGTCAGCCAAAATCTTGAATTCAGGATTTTGAAACGCTAAAATCTTGAGGTCAGCCAAACTCTTGAATTCAAGATTTTCGTAAGCCAAAATCTTGAAATGAGGATTTCGAAAAACCAAAATCTTGAACTCAGCAAAAATCTTCAATTAAGGATTTTGGAAATCTAAAATCTTAAAGTCAACCAAAATCTTGACTTCTGGACTTTAGAAAGCCAAAACCTTCAAGTCAACAAAAATCTTGAACTCTGGACTTTAGAAAGCGAAAACCTTCAAGTCAGCCAAAATCTTGAATTTATGAGTTTGGAAAGCCAAAATCTCGAAGTCAGCAAAAATCTTCAATTAAGGATTTTGGAAATCTAAAATCTTAAAGTCAACCAAAATCTTGACTTCTGGACTTTAGAAAGCCAAAACCTTCAAGTCAACCAAAATCTTGAACTCTGGACTTTAGAAAGCGAAAACCTTCAAGTCAGCCAAAATCTTGAATTTATGAGTTTGGAAAGCCAAAATCTCGAAGTCAGCAAAAATCTTGAATTCAAGATTTTAAAAGGCTAAAGTCTTGAAGTCAGCCAAAATCTTGAATTCACGATTTTGGAACGCTAAATTCTTGAAGTCAGCCCATTACGGAACGGCGCCTGTAGATCCGCGTCGCGAGCAAAATCGCGGGTCCCATGACTATTTTTGCGGTCACAAAGGAAGCCGACGCATGTCGCGTCCTTTGATTCAAGACTCAAATGTTAGCGTATTGTTTCCACGATACAAAGGTAATTTAACTTAAGAAAATCAATAGATCGAAGCTTTCGCGCTACTCTCTGTTTGATAAGGAAATGCAAACGGTCAACTTGATAAATATTCTGACTTCATAAACTGTTTTAACGATTTAGGCCAGTAAATGTATAAAATTTCAGAAAAACAATTCAGGAAGTCGAACAGTTTTGAACTGCGGTAGAAGTTGTTTTTATCAGTATGCAAATCACCTACCCAATCACTTACTTTCCATCGAACTGAAATATCCTGTCTTTTTTTACCACTTTTCGATTTGATTCGTTTCATTTTATATTATTTTGTGCAAGCTGAGTTCTTTCATGCGAATTTACGCTTTCAAAAGGAAAAACTTCGAGGAAACGTCGTGTTTACAACCACGGCAAATTGTATCTATTTCGCTTCACTTACGCTTATATGCAAATTACTGTTCATCTGCCGAATTTCGCTGGAGACAAAAATGTCGATTTTGAATTCCCAGATGCTTGCCTTTTTGGGCACCCTTTTTATTTTGGCTATCAAGATTTTAAAAGCGATCCTTCAGACTTTTCATGCCAACGTTTTAATGCAAGAAAGTTATGAGAAATGCTGCAACTGATTAAAGTCATGCAACACGCTTTAAGACCGCATAACTTGATCTTTCTTTTATCTTTTTTTCTTCTATTGTCTCCAAAAAAATAACGACGTTTCACCAATTTCCACATACAAATAATAAGAGACATTTGATTGACAAAAATTTGCATTTACTAGCGACGCCTTTCTACAGGCGCGATTCCGTAATGCAACATCTTAAATTCACGATTTTCAAAGGCTGAAATCTTGAAGTCAGCCAAAATCTAAAATTCACGATTTTGGAAACCCAAACCCTTGAGGTGAGCCAAACATCTTAAATTCAGGACTCTGGAACGCTACAATCTTAAAGTCAGGCAAAATGTAGAGTTCAGGATTCCGAAAAGCTACGACCTTGAAGTCAGCCAAAATCTTAATTCTCGATTTTCAAATCCAAAATCTTCCACTCAGCCAGAATCTTGTATTCATGATTTTCAAAAGCCCAAATCTTGAATTTAGGATTTTGGAACGCTGAAATCTTGAAGTTAGCAAAATTCTTAAAATCCGGATTTTGGAACATGAAAATTTTGAAGTCAGCCGAAGTCTTGAATTCAGGATTTTGGAACGCTAAAATCTTGAAGTTAGCCAAAATGTTGAATTCGGGATTTTGGAAAGCCAAAACCTTGAAGTTATCCAACATCTTAAATTCATGATTTTAGAAAGCCAGAATCTTTAAGTCAGACAAAATGTTGAATTCGGGATTTTGGAAACCTAAAATTTTAAATGTTAAAGTCAGGATTTTTTGACGCTAAAATCTTGAAATCAACAAAATCTTGAATTCATGATTTATGAAAACCAAAATCTCGAAGGAAGCCAAAATCATGATTTCGGGATTTTGGAAGGCTTAAATCTTGAAGTAAGCCAAAATCTTGAATTCAGGATTTTAGAAAGCCGAAATCTTCAAGTCAGCCAAAGTCTTAAATTCAGGATTGTGGAAAGCCAAAATCTTGAAGTCAGCCAAAATAATGAATTCAGGATTTTGGATAGCGAAAATCTTGAATTGTGGCAAAATCGTGATTTTAAGATTTTGAAACGCTAAAATCTTGCACACACGATTTTGGAAAGGCGAAATCTTAAAGTCAGCCAATATCTTCAATCTAAAATTGTGGAAAGCCAAAATCTTTAAGTCAGCTAAAATCTTTAATTCGGGTTTTTTTAAAGCCAAAATCTTAAAATAAGCCAAAAACCTTGAATTCAGAACTTTAAAAAGCCAAAATCTTGAAGTCACCAAAACCTGGAAGTGAGTCAACATCTTAAATTGACGATTTTGGGAGGATGAAATCTTGTGGAAAGGAAAACTCTTCCATTCACGATTGTGGAAAGAAAAAATATTGAAGAGAGCCAAAATCTTGAATTCAGGATTTTGGACAACCATAATCTTGAAGTCACCCAAAATCTTGAATTTAGATTTTGGAAAGCCAAAATCTTGAATTCAGGATTTTGGAAGGCAAAATGTTGATGTCAGCAAAAATCTTGAATTCAGAATTTTGGAAAGCTAAAATCTTGAAGCCACCAAAACCTTCAAGTGAGCCAACATCTTAAATTCAGGATTTTGGAAAGCCGAAATTCTGAAGTCAGCCGAAATTTTCAATTCAGGGGTTTAAAAAGCTAAGATCTTGAAGTCAATTTAAATCTTGATTTCACAATTTTGGAAAGCCGAAATCTTGAAATCAGCAAAAATCTTGAATTTAGGATTTTGTAAAGCCAAAATCTTGATTTCAGCCAAAATCTTAAATTCAGGATTTTTGGGAACAAATATCTTGAAGTATGCCAAAATGTTGAATTCATCTTTTTGACAGGTAATATCTTAAAGTCAGCCAAAATCTTGAATTCAGGCTTTTTCTAAGACAAAATCTTGAATTGCCGATTTTGGAAAGCTAAAGTCTTGTAGTCACCCAAAAATTTCAATTAAGGACTTTGGAACGCTAAAATCTTGAAGTCGCCCAAAATCTTGAATTCGCGATTTTGGAAATGCAAAATCTTAAAGTCAGCCAAAATCTTGAATTCAGGATAAACTCGAAAATCTTGAAGTCAGCCGAAACCTTGAATTCACGATTTTCGAAAGCCAAAATTTCCAAGTCGGCTAACTTGTTGAATTCAGGATTTTGGAGAACTAAAATCTTGAAGTCAGCCAAAATCTAAAATTCACGATTTTGGAAAGCCAAAACCTTGAATTGAGGATTTTGGAACGCTAAAATTCTGAAGTCAGCCAAAATCTTGATTTCAGGATTTTGGAAAGCCAAAATCTTGAAATCAGCCAAAACCTTGAATTCATGGTTTCTAAAAGCAAAAATCTTGAATTCAGGGTTTTGGAACGCTAAAATCTTAAAGTCAGCCAAAATCTTAAATTCACGAATTTGTAAAGCTAAAATCTCGAAGTCAGGCGAAATCTTGAATTCTGGATTTTCGAAAGCGAATATATTAATTTGATGGTTTTGGAAAGCCTAAACCTAAAAGTCAGCCAAAATCTTAGATTCACGATTTTCGAAAGCCAAAATCTTGAACTCATAATTTTGGAAAGCCGAAAGGTCGAACTCAGAAGAAATCTTGAATTCAGGATTTTGGAAGGCTAAAAACGGCATTTCTTGACACACGTCGAGTGCCCCGTCGATTGCGCGGACGTTTCGCTGCAGTTGGCCTCAATTTTGCGGTCATAAAGAGAAGCAAGGACATAAGGTACAAACAAAAATATTGCCGACCTGATTATTTGCTAGACAGGATCGATATTTGGTGTTAAGTTTAAGGTATCACCCACCCTCAAGCACCCTCCTCGCGTTGATCGGCACTAGCGCTTTTGCCTTTCACAAATATCCCCATAAACCGTACATTTTCTGAAAGCTTAATAGTTCCAGATAATTGCTTATTTCTTTTAAAAAATCAAAATATTAACGCGATTTAGAAATGAGAAGCTTTTTGTGAAAGTGGGTGTCACTGTAAATCTAAGTCCAGTCCAGCCACAAATTAACGGAGGAAGCCAATTAAGAACGCATTCGCTTCTGAACACGTTTGACTAAAAAACCGTGTTTCAGATTTCTGTCAAGTGCGTTTGTTCTGTTGTTATAAGCAGGTGAAGTTAGGGATAGGAAATCATTAGCACTACCTGTGAAAGAAATACTCTAACTCGAAAACGAAAAAAGAAATCACAATTCGCAGACACGGTTTTTTAGAAAAACTATCTGACAGTAAGTTGGCCAAATTTCAGCCAAATTGGTTCACGGGTTGCCGACTTGGAGTTTAAAACGTACCCTCAACTTGTTCTGATTTTCATTTCGAGAAAACAGTGGAAAAAGATTTTTGGCGGCGTGTTACCCGCGACGAGATTATAACAGATTATAACACCAAAGCTGTCAATGTTGATGTATACCAGAGAAGGGACAA